CTTCTTCACACGGCAGTCTCAGGGTTCCAAGAGTATGAGAACTCTAACAAAATTCACTTCCACAGTATTCTATCAAATCAAAGTACAAATTCAAGGGGATGGACAAATAGTCTCCATCTCTTGCTGGGAAGAGATATAAGTCACACTTCACAGGCGAGTGCCTACAGGGGAAGAATTTGTGGCTATTTTTTTCCAACTCACTACATTAATAATGGTTCAAAATTCAGAAACAATACAGTAAAAAACTGATCAATTTGTTTACATAAAAGTTAAAAATCTCTTGTACTACAAAAATACCATGAGTAAGGTGAATGACAAACTTGGAAAAATATTTATAATTTATATCATAGACAAAAGTGTATACCATCTCTAGTATTAAAGAGTTCTAAAAAATAGAATAGGAAAAGTATTGACAACACTATAAAAAAGGCACTAGAGATATGAACAGATAGTTTGCAGAAAAATAAATGTACATGGACCTTAACCCAATGAAAAAAAAGTTCAACCCCACTCTTAATAAAGGAAATGCAAATTAAAACTACACTGAGATGTTATTTTTCATGTATCACATGAGCAACAATCCAAACATTTAACAATATACTCTGACAATATACAGGCACTCATATACATTGCTATTTGGGAATACAAAACGGAGTGGCTACTATTGGAAGGAGTTTTGCAACAACTAGCAAAATTACATATGTATTGGACCTAGCACTCCTTCTTTCAAAATCTACCCCAATGATATACTGGCAAAGTGCAAAAAGGCATTTGCATGAAGCTATTCATTCCTGCAATATTTATAGTAGCTCATACTAAAACAACTAAGATGTCCATCAGAAGGAGTCAGGCTAAGTAAACTGTGGTACCCACACACAGAGTTCTATGCAACTGTGCAAGGGATGAGGACTATCTCTCTATATAGTAATAGAGTGATCTTCAAGTTCACAGTTAAATGAAAAAAAAAAAACAAGGTAGAGAACTGTATGTATAGTATACTACTGTTTATCTAAGAAAGAAGGTGACAAATTAAATGATAGATAGATAGATAGATAGATAGATGATAGATAGATAGATAGATAGAAAGATAGATAGATAGATAGATAGTTGATACCAAAATATGGGGGGGTAACCCCACAAAGTGGAAGGAATCAGATGGAAGGAATAAACAGAAAAGGCAAATTTCTCTGCATATGTCTTGTTTCATAGATTCGACTTTAGAACCAAGTAAGGAATTTCCATAATTATTAAGAAATTTATAATGGTTTTAAAAGGCAATCCCTTTTAAAAAGCAATGTGAAACTGTGATTTGAGTTATGCCATAACTGTACAGAGAAGAACCGTTGCAAGTGACTTTAAAATCACAGTATATAACTGTATATATACAAAGTATTAAAAAGTACTCCAAAAATAAATCCTGAAGTGTTTTAGTAATTATATTATTAATGAGAGCATTTGTTATTTTGATACTGTAGTTTGCACGTTGTGCAACAAATCACCCAAGTAAATGTGTTGGAGTAGGAGATCAATCAGGTTAAATAAAAACCCTGAGGTCCTAACTTTGAATTGGAAGTATCAGTATGAATTCACAATATATTTAATCTTTTTTTTTTTTTTTTTCAAAAAAGTGCTTCTTAGCTCTGTCTCCTTAAAGGCCTAGAAACAGTGACAAACCCAGTAGGAGCAATGGATACCCCTTAATCACCCATATTGAGTTTAAATATTTAAATCCTTAAAGATCGCAATCACATTAAAAATCAGCTCCTTAAAGAAATAGCTGATTCTAGGTCTGTGGTAGGATATTGACATCTTATCATTCCAGAAAGCAAGGAAGCTACCCACGAAGGATTCAGAAGCCCACTCGAAGAATTTCCCATTTGTCAATGATGAGAAATTTGAGCATTAATAAGGATAATAAATGCAATTGATTTAAGCAAAGAAATTATATTTACATTGCTGGTTCATAATGATGCTAAAAGGTAATCCATTGGTCATTTATGGAGGATGCTAGGGAGCCATCTCATTGTTTTGAAAACTGGAAATAAAAAGAAAGAGTTAAGTATTTATTCTATCTTTCCTGTATGAATTGTATCTGAGTGTAACCAAATAGTTCGTGAAAGACGTTCCCCTCTAAAGTAGTTCCACTCATACATAAATGATGATACAATTACAATATCACCATTTTACAACTCCTAAGGAAGTAATGTATCGATGACTTCTAATATCACAAAGAGAAGAACAATCAGACATCATGTATCTATCTCCCGATGGAAGTGTCAATACCACCTATGAAATATTCCTCCTAAAACAATAAACCTAACTCTGATAAAAGCTCTAGATCTAAATACTGTACAAACTTATAAGCAGTATAAGGGAGAAGAACATGTTAAAACAAAAGAAAATAGAACAAAAATCCATAAGCAAAACCCAGACTGTGAAAAATTCTGCACATCAAATGACCCAGTTTATTTTTAAAAATAAATTGTGAAGGAAAACAAAAGAGAGGGACTTAAGAATATATTGACCAATTGTAATTTGAGGACTTTAATTGGATTCTGATTCAAGAAACAAACTGAAGGCAGGAAAAGCCCTTATGAGGCAGTTGAGGAAATTTGATCACTGACTAGATAATTAGTAACATTAAAGAATCGTTATTCTTGTTATTATTATTATTATTACCTTACATATAGGCAGTGTAGGTGGTAGAAGGTAAGTGGGTAGGACTATGAATATGAGATTTGCCAAGAGTAGGGCACATGAAGATTCTTTATGCTGTTCTCGCTACTTTTGTTTGACATTTTCTAAAATATAATGTTAAAAAGAAAAAAAAATGTACTTAAATTATTTTTTTAAGATGAGGACATTCTTCTCTCTGAAAGACTTCTAGTGGACATTATTGTGCTTCCGCAAAATACCTAGAATTGGGGCGATTCATCCTGTGATTATGAAGAAAGCCTACCAAGGATAAAGCCCAAACATTCTTGAGAGCAGAGCAGAATAATAGAAACAACCTGTTCTTGAGGACCAAGCCACACAATAAACTAACCCTGGAGTCACAATAACTATCCCTTTGTTGTTTAATCTATTTCGAGTTTTCTGTTATTCACAGCAGAACCCATCCTAACAAAAACAGTGGAGAAGGATGCTTTCGTGTGTGTGTGTCGAGGACTTATGAGGGGTACTGGGTAGTATTTCTGCTCCGGATGACCGGATGTTCGGTAAAAGAGCTTCTCTTACTTGTGCCATGAGCCTTAGACTTATGGGTCTAATGCAGAGCTGATATCAGAAACAAATTCAAAACAAATCCAAGATACCATCCTGTACCTCAAAGTTAAACATTGTATCACCTTCCACCTACATCCCACCCTAGTTTAGCATGGGTGAAAATCTGAGCAATGGCGTTGCTGCACACAGCCAGAGAATAGCAACCCTCCACCTACACCAGTGATGGGGGCCTTGTTGCCATCTGGCTGGAGAGGGATATGATCCGGGAATCCTGTTCTCAGGGTCTGCTTCCTAGGGCTACATTCAGTGACAATTATCCGAAGTGGAGGTCCCTAGAAATAGCCTGAAACAGCAATTTGGGGGCAAGATACTTATCGTAGGGGTGCTCTCAGAAGAGGAGGAGGAAAGCTACACGAGGATGTAATCTCCGCTGGAAACCAGCTTCAGCCTGAGCCCCTGGGGAGTGTGAGCTGTCCCACAGAGTTGGCCCCACCTTTTGTACCACTACTGCAATCGGTCATTGCTGTGAGCTGCTTGGGGTGAGTGCCTGTGTGTGACACTCACAGCAGCTGGGAATAAATGCACTGGCCCAGTTAAGGGGAAAAACTAGGCAGAGCATCAGCAACATCCACTCCAGCTTCCCCGCTTACTCCGGGCGATGGCTCAAATCTTCGTAGACCCTGCACGATCTAGCTCATCCCTGCATAACCATTCTCTTCCTCTCTGAAATCATCTCCAATTACTCTTCCTCTTTTTCACTCCACTTTAGCCACACTGGCCTCCCTGCAAGCCTCCCTGCAAGTCCACACACACACACACATGTATCTCATAGTGCTTCAGATCCTTTGCACTTCTCAGTTCCCCCGTCTGGAATGACTCTCCCCTGCTCTCCCCTTCTTCCGTCCCCCCATGTCCTCATGACTAGGTCCCTGATGCTTCCTTCAGGTTTTTATTCACAAGACAGCTTCTTACTGAGGCCTCCTCTGTGAAATTATAACTTCCGCCTCTAGCCGACACTCACAAACCCTTCACTTTCATTACTTTTTAAACACCTATCAGTACCTAACGTACTATATAGTTTTCTTATTTGCTTATTGTTTGATCATACCCTAGAATATAAACTGGGAAGGGTAGGACTTTTTCTCTTTTTCATTTTATTCTCAGCACTTAAAACTGGTAGATTACAGGTGCTCAATTAATACATGAATGAATGGATGAATGAATGAATAATTCCTGGCACAAAGTATAAGTCCTCAATAAACAATGATTGAACTGAACTAAACTAAAGTGGAAAATATCGGCACAGCCCCCATGTAATATAAATGGGAGAAAGGACACACATATTGCTATATGCAGAGTTCTCTTAAGATTACATGATTTTCTGGATAATATTGCAATGTTCATGTGATGTTATATGTATGTATGTTAATAAATAATATATTATTTATACATATCAATGTTAGTGAATAAAAATAGAAGCGCTAAAAGTTTTCCAATTTTATTTGAGTTCAAATCAAAACTCAATCTAGATTTACAACATTGAATTAAAATAAAGGTATAGCAAAATTAATGTGAATACAGTTTGTATAGGTAGCTCAGTTCCTATGATATGAAATTTAAATCCAAAACGAAACTCTTGAAACTCTTTACTACAATGTCATGTTCCGATCTCAGGGACTAGAAAACTCTTAAAATCTCAAATCTCTCAATCCTGAAACCGACTAGTAGGTACCAAAAATCTTCAAGGCACAATAAAGTTTTCTACAAAATAAGCCTTTTTTTTTTTTTTAAACTATAATTACCAAATCTACAAAAGCACCTATGAAACTCTCTTTTTGTCAATCAGCATGATTAACCTTGAGCCAAGGTGGCCTCAGAACCCACATTGGCTTCTTCCTGTAAATCATCCTCAGTAGAGGATCCTGACTCAACTTGAGAATTTTCTTCTTCTAGTTCAGCAAATTCACCAGAGCTTTCATTCTCTGTTGTACCTTTATCGCTATCGATGGCAACAGCTTCATCCAGAGCTGCATTCGTAACCTCTGAGGTCGTTTGGATGCTGACCTCTGCGGTTTCACCGGTGGCTGCATTTGGAACCTCTGGCCCAGTTTCAGCACTGACTGCAGTGGTTTCTACTGGAGCAGCCTCTGCAGTGTCAGGACAGGCTGAAGCCTCTGTTATGACTGCAACTGTAGCATCTGGGATTTCTTCAGCATCGACCACCTGAGCTTCCACCGAAGATACTTCAGGGGCTTCTGAACTTGCTTTCTCGGCTCCCCCAAGGTTCTCTTTTTCACCTTTAAGATTTAGTCCATCAAGCAAAGTATTAATTGAAAGAGCAAGGGAAGACAGTGGAACGCTGTGCAGTCATTTTAAACAATGAGACAGATCTATGTGGATTGATAGGTAATGATCTTCAAAGTAGACTTAAGTGAAAAAAGCAAGGGAAAGACTAATGTATACAGGTTTACTAGTTGTATTAGGACAAAAGTGGGCTAAGTTTTATGTGAAGACAGTTTTATTTGCAGACTCTGGGGAGTTCAAAGAAATTGTTATTATTGGTTGCCTCTGGGGAGGGAAAATAGAGAGTCTGCTTTTCTGTAAATGCTTTGAACCCATTAAACTTTAAAAAAATGAAGTTACATATATTATTTATTCAAATACAAAGAACAGGAAAATAAACAACCAACCAGTCATATGAGATAGCATGGAAAAGTAGCCAACTTACTAACCAATGGCTCTGAGGAATCACTAATCCAGGCTCAACCTCAGTTTTGTCATCTGTTAAATGCAGATGGTAACAGTATCTATCTTACAGAGCTGTTGTGAGCATTGATTAAAATACTGTGTAGAAAAAAGGGTTTAAAACCACTAAAGTACCATGGAAATATTATATTTTTATTATGATGATGATCATTGAACATGATTATATTCAATAATGTTTACTGATGATAATCTGTTTCTTACTGGTGTCATGACTAAAAGGTTAAAACGGGTCCGTGAGCAGCTATTATCTCTGTCTCCAAATAGTGATCACAGTAATTGATAATAATGGCATCATAGTTGAAATGGAAAAAAGTACGGTTTTAAAGCAAGCAGTTTAAGGCAAGAAATATACATTAGTGTAAAATGTAAAGTTTCTGTTCCTGTAGCTGCCATTTTAATTAATCAGATCAACTGAGGGACTCATTAGACACGACTTATTCTACTAATGTCCAGTATACTTTGGGCAAGGACACAAAACTGAAACAAAAATTAGTTTGACGATAAAAAAAAAAAAACAAAAAAAAACAAAAAAAAACCGAGGGAAATGAAAGGTCAAGCTGCTGAGAGACCTGTAACTAAAATGACGCCTGCATGCACGGAGGCCCGATAGGGGTAGGGCAATGTTACAACAGAAAGACATCAAAACTGCTGGCCAGCAGTATAAATGTAAAACGGTTTCATTTATCACATGCACTCTTCCAAAACATATGACAACGTTCTCTAGGTTTTGGTTGGCTTTTTCCTTTCCGAACGAAGTCCTACCCAGAGCCATTCTGGATTAAGTTAGCAAAGAAGCCAAAATCAAATAGTGATCATGGCTAGGCTAAGATGATGAAAATCAGTGCCTTACAGAAAAAGAGTAATAATAAATTCACTTTACCTTCAAGTTGCTGTAACTCTGCTTTGGTTTTTTCTTTCAAATTTGTTATGTGTTCGGTGTGTCTGGCTTGCTCTGATGTTACTGTCCTATAAGTCTGAAAGTAAATGTGTGTTTAAGTTTATTTCTTGAGCATTTGTTTCATTGTGATTTATATCCAGAATGCCAAGTTCAAATGTGTATACAATTCAAAGAGAGACCAACACCATCTCTTATGTGCCCCTTAGAAATCTTTGTCATTCAGTAGAATGCTTAAAAAAGGAAAGAAACAAATGCTCTAACAAGGTCAAAGATAACTGAAATCATCCACACTGAATAAAACGACAAAGACAGTTTATATATGCTGTCAGCTCTCAGTACACCAAAGCTGAACCTGTGCGAAGTTCACATCCCTGAAATGCCCATCCAGCAGCAATGTCCCGAGGGACGTCAGTTCTATTGTTCAAAGGGCTAGAACAAAAGGCGATTAAAAAAAAAAACTAGATAGAATTGAAGAGATGATAAAATTAGAATAATTCACACTCATGTGTGGCCCAGAGAATCTAGCTGTTCCAAATCTAACACAGTCAAGCACAGAGTAGAAGGAAGGCCTACTGGAAGAGAAGGGCTCAAATTTGGACTTTGGGAGTGATATCCAAATGATATGACTATTTAATAAATGTAAGCACTTAAAATATACCACGACTTTTATAAACCAGTCTGGCATTACGATTTTTAATATACCCAAACCCTCAAAAAATTGAAGTGACCTGGGCCTTTCTCAGATTCTAAGAGGCCCTAGTAGTAAGTTTTACTTGGAAATGAAAACTGCTCTTGGCATCTGTGGATTCAATTCAGGTAAATCTTATACAGAACTTATTTTAGTACAGGATAAGGAAGGGAGGACTAGAATACAGGTTTTCGAGCGCCTCGCAGTCTGTATTTCCTCCTGAAATTAGACTAGGATTCTTGGGAATTAAGGCTTCCAACATTCAAGATTAAAACTACATACTCATAGAGGTGGGAAGGGACTTAGAGACCTTCGCTTGTCCAACTTCCACTCCCACAGTGAGAGAACAAGGCCAGGAAGGGCTCTCAGCAGTAGCCAGTTTATAACCTTCCAGCTTAAGATTGCTTTTGCAAACAAAGATTTAGCAGACTAGAGAGGTTCGGATCTGGCACTAGTAAGCATAATTACGAATTAGTGATGCCCAGATGAAATTCAGTCTTCCAACTTCTCACATAATTGCATGGCCCAGTCCAATATCTATTTTTCCAGTGGCCTACATCCAACCATAGAAGCCCTGGGCAGTGAATTCAACAATAAGCAGCAGAAAGATGACAGAAGCAAAGGAATCTGGGTATGAGTGAAAGATGGTAGATTACTGGAGGGCAGTAACACAAGTGGCATGTTTGAAGTTTCCTGACTTCTTGAGGCTCTCACGACTCTGAAGATTAGAACATATATTTTGGTTTGGCCATCTACATAGTCCTACCAGCTGGTCCTGATTATGACTAAAAATCTCTTTATGCCTATTTTTGTAGGGTCAAACCAAAATGTACTGACTGTGTACTCTTATAGTTTCCAAAGAAGTTGTACTTATTCTACTTTTATTCAAAATGAAGATCAGATTTTGATTTAGAAAATTTATGACAAAATGGAGAATATGATACATTATTATTAACTAAAGTCTATGGTTTACATGAGGCTTCACTCCGTGTTGTTAGCTCCAAAGTCATATTATTAAAAGCTTTGTTTTACAGTGATTACCTGGGAGTGAGGAATGAATATGGGACCAAGGAAGGAAACATGCTTTTAATTTTCTATATGTCTATTTTAATTTTTTGAGAAAAATTATAAGTAGATATTAAATTTTAAAATAAGTGTATATAAAGATACACAACTAATAAAAACTATGGAGACAGTAAAAAGAATTGGAATATTGGGGAGAGGGACGGAGGAATGAGCAGGATTTTTAGGGCAGTGAAACTATTCTGTATGATACTGTTATGGTGCATGCATGTCATGACACGTTTGTCAAAACTCATAGAACGTACAACACAGAGTGAAGCCTAATGTAAACCATAGACTTTAGTTAATAATAATGTATCAATACTGACTCATCAGTCATAACATATGTATCACACTAAAGCAAGACTGTTGATAGGGGAAAGTGGGGGACAGGGGTGAGGGGAGGTACATGGGATCTCTCTGTACTTTCTGCTCATTTTTCTGTAAACCTAAAACTGCTCTAAAGAATAAAGTCTATTAATTTTTTTAAAAGTTAATCTTTCAAAACAATTCCTGTTAAATGTTAATAATACTACCTAACTTGTAGAATTGTTGTAATTATTAAAGGAACCATGGCACTCTCATATCAGCTATTATTAGTAGTACTTATAATAACTGTTTTTATTGAAAGTCACCCATGGTATTAAGAAATATTGATTTTCTATTTAAAAAATCTTTATAATCTTGTTCTTTAATTATTTCCATGTCCTGACCTTGATACTGCTTTGAGTTTTACCACAGGTTGTAAAATACATGAATTTCTGAACACTATGGTTATTTAAACACTTACATAGTATCCGCCAGCACTGACTGTGACACCTACAACCAGGTAGTAGAGCATATTTGATCCAGATGATCCAGGGAATTTATTAGATGACATCCAGCGAAGAGAGGCTAGAAAAACAAGTTTAAACTTGTTTTAGCTCTATCACGTAAGCAAAACTATTTTAAATAATCATGTCTTAAAACATTTTTCTGCTCAGCGAACCTAGGATCTATTAACAACAAGTGACTTTAGCTTAAGGGTATACAGTGTTCTGAGGTAAGATAATAATTCCACTTGACATTTTTCCCAATCTAATTTGACACGTACTTATGAAACCTGTCATTTTGATGCTTAGCGTTATGCTTTTCTTGGTAGGAGCACAGGCATGGGTAAGGAGAAATGACAAAAGCACTAAACAATTTTAAGAGTCAAACGAGATGCATATTAGCAAAAGAAATCCATTTACTGTATGTACTCCACCACAGGATTTAATGGAAAAGATTATTTTTTTAAAAAAATGAATTATACATTTGTACTTAAAATACATGTGTTAAAAATATGTTAAATAAAACATGTTGAAATTTAACACACTTCTACGAATCTATAATACAAATGTAGAAATAGGAAGAAACTTTCATTTTTCTAATGTAAAGCCTTTAAACATGGGCAGTAAGAAGCTTTTGCTTTTTTGAAATTTAAGTTTAGAGTAAGAAGCTTTTTTAAGACAAATGTTGCAATAAGGTCATAACTGAAATCGAAGTACAATTCAGCACAAACTAATAGAAATAGATGAGTGCTATATTATTGTATTTAAATATATTTACTCCGTAGTGCAACAATTTGTGTACCCGATATGCCCTGGAATTGAAATTTTTATAATAAACTCCAAGCTAGAAGGAGCTTAAAGTTCACATAGCTCAAATTCTTTACCTTAAAGATAAAAAAGTAGAGACATTTATTTACCTATCAACAAATTCAGTTGAGCACCCATTATGTATTTGGCATTGTTAGAAATATTGAGGATATAACCATGAACAAGTCACACAAGGTTCCTAGGCTCAGGTAACTCACAGTCTAGAAAGGAACAGATGTACAGACAAATAATTGCAATGCAGTATGACAAATGCTATACTAGATGTAAGTAGAAGCTGCAACAATACATGAAAACTCAGTGAAAAAACTCAGCTAGTGAGCTCAAGGTAGCTATAGCAATTGAAAAGACAGAACCTGAGTTTTGAAGGAAAGTAAGAGTTTGCCAGATAAATAAGAGAAGGGAAAATTGAAGAAGACACAACATGTGCCCAAAGCATGAGTTGTGTGACTGGAAAAGGACAAAGGAATTTGATGTGGCCTGTCATAGAGAGTGTGAGTGTGGGGACTAGTAAGAAGTTATGATTCGCAGAGGGCAAATCATAAGATATTTGCACTGATTACAAATCCTTGTAGTGGCAAAATCGGAGAGATGTCATATGTATGTTCTTAGTTTGAATATAAAGGACCGTCTCTTAGAAAAAAAAAATATGTCCCTGTAAATATGCCCAAATTGGCTATGATAAGAGATTGTGGCATTGACTTGTAGTAGGGCTTTTGTTGGTTCAAAAAAAATCTGTTATTAAATAGGAACTACGTAATGTTTATAGTTGTCGACCAGACATAAATATCAAAAAGGTTTTTTAATAGGAAGAAATAAAGAAAATTATCAGAGATTTAAATAAGACAAATACAAATACAATTATGGCAAAGTTATTTAGAAGAGCAATGAAATGGAATATTCGATAAGGATTAATTAGACAAATTTTAGCATATTTATACAATACGAAACAAATAGACATAATTTTTCAGAAGTATATTTAGTTACTTGAGATCATATTTACAGTATATTAAGTGAAACATTATAGCAAAATAATCTATCCATGACCATGACTATCCCAGATTTGTGGAAGGAATGTGTACAAGGAAAAAAATGCGTGAAGGAAAAAAGAGATCAGAACATTATGTATACTAAAATGTAAATAGTGGTATTTCCTGAGTAGAAGGATTACGGGTGACTTCTATTTTGCCTGTGTTTTTTTCCAATGATCTCTTATGAACCTAAATTATTTATTCATTAAAAGTTACACTTTTAAAAGCAAAAACGGGAGCACAAAATTTGATGAGGCAGTTAAAGTTTATCCTTTAATAAAACAAAATTTTTTTGTCAAAGTAGAAAGAAACAATAAAAGGTTAATTAATGTCTATGCCTGACTAAAGCCAAATTTTTAGTCAATAATAGTTCTTTAAATACATAAGCAAATCAGTGCTACAAAAAAGGTAATTAGGTGAAAATTAGAGAAAGACCAGTACTGTTACAACCAGTATTGTTAACTACCTGTTGAGAAATTTTAAGCCCTTTTCTTGTGTCTCAAGTTGGGGGGGAAGTTATTTGAAGCATATACAGCTAAGGAAAAAAAAAAAAGTATCTGTCTGTGCCTGATGACAGTGGGGGATGCGGACGGACAACGCCAAAGGCCAGGTTCGGGGGCTCATCCTTCTCCCCGCTCCTCCCGCAATAACAAGAGCTCCGTTATCTTCAGAAGTTTAAGACGACATTTCATCCCTGAAAACAAATGTGCTCTTCTGTTACTCAAGGAAAAGGAAGACGCCTTATTTCTGAGACTTGCGAGGCAACTTCTTCTCACCAGCACTTTCAGAGGAAAATAAAGCCAGGTGGACAGACCTTCCTTCTGTCCCACCACCACCGTCACCACCACAGGCCTAATCGAAGTGGGGGAAAAACGGGTCCATGGAATTTTCCGCAGGAGTCTTCCTCTCTCGCCCGCTCAATTGCAGGAACTGGGCCAAAGCTACCTGGACCAAAGCCTTAGGAAGTGAGGCGACGTGAAGGGGGAACTGGAATCTCCCCGCAATCGCGGACACAGGAAAGGGAGGGGATACAGCTGAGGACTGGGAACCGCACAGGAGCGCGGACCTGGAGCGGTGACAAATTCTCCCACGCTCTCACTTAAGCACCAACCATGTTCCAGGCACTACGCTGGGCGCTTTCGTTCCTGCCGATTTTTATTTAAGAAGCTTCCAGCTCGCACGGCGACTCCCCTCCTAGGATATTTCTGAATACACCCCCGTTCCCCGTGCATTCGCACATCTCGGGGTGAGGAGACACGGACCACGGGGCCAAACAGCTGGACAGCTCCTGGCGTACCTGCAGCCGCCAGGGAAGGTGCTTCGAAGGCCGCCCTGCGGCGATGCCGGGGCCGAGGCTGGCGGGCCGAGGCTGCCGCGCCGCAGCCAAGTTCTTGGGTTGATTGACTCGAGAGCCTTCACTGACTTCCCCTGGACCCGCGCGCGTCCCGCACCCCGCCTGGCTCGCTGGTCAGCGTTCCCCTCCCACCCGCGCCTCTGCTTCCCCATGAAGCTGGAGAGCGCACCGGTCCCTGCAGGAATGGAAGTGGTGAGCCAAGCGTAAGTTAGCAGGACACTTTCCAAGGCGCTTTAATTCGTGTTAATCCGCTGAAACCCAACCGTGATAGTCCCCGTTTTACAGATGAGGAAACAGGTTAAATCACTTGCCCAAGATCAAGATTCGGACCCAGGGCGTCTGGCCCAGATTCAGAAGCCGCGCTGGAGAAGTTCCCAACTTTCGAAGTCTCCAAGCACTTTGGGGCGTCTTCCCCGCGACCCTCCCCCACTTGTCCCCCCGCCCCCAACTCAGGCTTCTGCTGCTTCGGGGCGGGTTTGACCCACCGGAGCAGACGAGCACAGGGCGCCTGCGGGATCTGCGCGCGAGGCTCCTTTGCTCTTCGGGTTTGGACGGTGGGAGCGGGGCCCGGGCCAGCGCCTGGCACTCACCGTCCTTCCCGAGCGGCGCGGGGCTGGGGGGCGCCCTCAGCGGCAGCGCCAGGGTCTTGGAGACCGCCCTGCGCAGGTACATCGCGCCTGCTGCTCGCCGCGCTGCAGCCTCTGCAGCCCCGCGCGTCGCGGGGCGCGTTGAGCCGGGGAGAGCCCCGCCCCGAGGAGGGGCGTCGGCCGCTCCCCTCCCCGCCTCGGCGGCGGCGGGGATAGGTAGGGGTGGATCATCAGCACCCTCCTCCCTCGACCCCAATCTCCAGGCTCTGCTGCTTTCTCTGGGGTCCATGAAGCTGATGGCGGCATCTCAGAAAAGGGGTCGGGAACCGAAAGGTCGCCATCACCTGCCTGCCGCGTACTGTTCCGCTGAGAGGAACTCCTCAAAGAGACCGCTGGAATGTTTCGGGGTTCGCATCCGAAATAAGACATAGACGTGGTTCATCAGGCCGGATGGAATCTGAACCCACTTTATCTCACGCACTCCCTGAGCTTTCAGAGGAATGGGGAGGGTAGCTGAACGTTTCCTGGAACGCAGTGGGGAGAGGGGCGGTCTCAGCCTTCCGTTAGTGCACTGGGGCGGGGGGCGTTCAGAATCGTGAAGTCCCCAGGCACTAGCTGACTCTCTAAACAATTCACTGTTAAAGTGACTTTAAAGACAAACCCCCCCAATGTTGTATATTCCTCTGAAATGTGAAACTAGTATTTCCACATCAACTAAAAATGCTAAATTATTAGTTTCTTTCCCCAGATTATAATTACTTGCCTCATTGTGGCTGCACAATTAGAGTTTGAATATGAAAACCAATAATTTATGATTATAACATTTTCTAAATGATTACTCTTTTGTAGGGACCGTTTCCTAGTATAATAATCCCTTATGTGTATTTGGCACTTGACAGTTTATAAAGCACTTTCACATGTTATCTCCTTTAATTCTCATTCAGCACTCTGAGGGAGATGGCAGTTACTCCCTTTAGCAAAGAACAGGGTGGCAGGGGGGAATGTCTAGGAATGATGGTCATTTTTTAAAGGTTATGAACATAATTTTTCTAGTTTCGAGTTCTCTAAGACATGTTACACAAAATATTTGCTCATATGCTATTTAACTAAACATCCCTTGGAGATTCTTGTTCTGAATGCGATTCTAATAACAGTTAACATATTCTCGTCTGAAGAGTACAAGCCAATGGTCAGAACTGTATTTTTGGTACTCAGAATAGCTAGCTATTTCTAGGGATTAAACACTTAACAAGAGCAATTAGGTAATCTGCAGTTAAGGAGAGGTCAAATTTAGACTTCCAAGCAGCACAAGAAGGGTCTAGACCCAGACTCTCCATTAAGAAATTAGGTAGTCCTAAAAGTAACAAAATGCAGATTACTACACTTGCTACCTTTGACCAGCATCAGGTACACATCCTCTGGCAACTAGCGATTAGCTCTCTCACTGGTGGTGTAGAATGTTTAATGAACTGCTAGCAGCTAAGCACAGATAGACAAATAAAACCAAATCCAGGGGACTTCGAACCACTTTCCGTTTGGTGATACACAATTTAAAATTGAAAAAGAAAACAAATCTGTCTATCATTATAGTTCATTCTTTCCTTCATGTACTTAGGGCTGAATTTTGATTTGGTTGCCAGGGAGAGGAATAGTCAAAGGCAATAAATGCACTTATACTACATGTATTGTAGTTATTTAATGTGTTGGATCCTCCCTTAAAAAGGACTTTTTCTGAATGTTTGTAAATGATGATGGCTCCCAGGACACTACTCAAGGCCCACCTTTGGAGCTCAGCTGTAGACTCGGGGTCTGCGTACAGTTTGAGGTCTTCTGGATCATTTCCAGGTTCCACAGCAGTCACCTAACCTCAGTCCGTCCAACTGTCTATAAGAAGCTGTAGACATGCCTATAATATGCTAGGGACCATGCTAGCTGCTGGGGATTGTTTATAATTTATTTCACAAAGATGTATCTATTATATGTTAGGCACTGTTTCAGGGCATTCTTCAATGATTTCTGTCATCACTCAGAGGTTAAAGAGACACTGAACCAACACCTTTTCAGGGGTAGCTGCCAAGCCCACCACAAGTGGGGTCCATGACCACAAAGAAGTCTCTGACCAGATATCAATAATAAATGTAATCTAAGGGCTTCAGTTACAACCAAACTGGTTTAAACCATGCAAAAGTAACACATGTATATGTAGGGCTTTAAAAACTTTTCCCAAAAAACTGTCACATCTCATTTTGTACTTCATCCTCTTAACAATCCTAAGGAGTAGGTGGGGGGCATGGATCATCCCTGTTACACATGAAAAAGGTAGTAGAATACTGTGGTTAAGAGCATGAGTTTTGGAGTCAGATCTAGTCTGATTTACAGGTCTGAGTAAAATGTGGATAATTCTTTTATCCATAGGTAGGAAAGGCAAAAACTCTGAGATAAATAGTGCCACATCTCCAGATTCCTTTTCATCTTAGTTAAAAGCTCATGCCCTTGGATGAAAGTGAATTTTTTCTACCTACTCTACTGCTCCTGTAGCATACGTGGCTCTCCATTTTGATGGCAAACTCTTTTCACATCTCGATAAAAACATTTCTCAAGAGAAGACATGCTGTGGGTTGTCGAATTCACTCTGTGGCAAGCTGTTGCTCCCAAACAGGAGAGAATTTTAACATTAGGTCTTTACTGCAGAAGACTCTGTGAGGCTCAGGCAATAGTCCCCAGCTATTGGCCACACTGTTTAGAACGCTGTCCTTGAGCACATCCTTGACATTTTTCTTGGTCTTGGAAAAACAAAAATCTAGAGTCAGAGATAACTTAGCTTATCTAAGATGACCTCCACCTAATTGTGACTGTTGACAAAGATGACATTAGTTTTTTAAAACATATTGTAAGAGGCTTCTACGGGCAATATTAATCATACTTATTCAAGGTTTACGTGTGATATACAATTAAAAGCAATTTTCAAAGACTGAGTGATTTCCTAGGCTCCACAGAAAGCAAAAAGTACGTTGTTGTCCTTAGCACTAAATTCTTAGGCTATGACCTGTACTTTCAACAGATCGATATGGATTTAAAGTGAAACAATTTAGAAGAGTATCTAGGAAGACAAACTGGCAAGCAATTAAGAAAGTCCTGATAAGCATCCTCTCGATAGCTTAAAATATCTTGATAAACCGAAGGGGAATGGGTAATCAATATGGTAAATTCTTAAATTATTCCTGGAAAACACTTAGTACTCTCCTCCCCATCTACTCACTTTCTCTTTTGTAGCCAAGTAAACATGATATTCCCTAACACACTTATTTTCCTAAGGCTATTGTAACAAATTACTACAAACTTGGGATGGCTTAAAACAGAACTTTATTCTTTCATGGTTCTAGAGGCTAAAAGTCTGAAACCAAGGTGTCAGCAGGGCCATGCACCCTCTGAAACCTATAGGGGAGAATTCTTCCTTGCCTCTTCTAGCTTCTAATATTTGCTGGTAATCCTAGGCATGTAGATGCGTCATTTCAATCTCTGCCTCCGTCACTACATGGCTGTCTTCTCCATGTCTCTGTCTCTTCTTAAAAATATATCAGTCATATTGGATTAAGGGCCAGCCCTACTCTAGTATAAATTCACCTTAAATAATTACATCTGCAACTACCTTATTTCCAAATGAGGTCACATTCTGAGATATTGGAGCTTTCAACATATCTTTTGGGGGACACAATTCGACCCATAACAACTTCTTATACTTGAAATTTGAGTTCATATAGCCTGTTTTTTTTTTTGAAGGCAACTTAATAATTTAAATGACTACCTCACAGACACTAAACATTAAAAAAAGTGTACCTGATTTTGATCCAATGAAAAACTTGACTGTATTTGGCATACAAGTGCATTTTTGTCTGCATCCTCTTTTTTTTAATACAAACTCTTTCAAATCATTTCTAAGGGAATCATCACTTGACCACAATTCCTCTTGAGAATTTAGAATCAGAATGATTCTTGTTCAGTCCAACTACTCTCTGGAACTGAAATGTAAACCCAGGAATTATTGACTGTGGTTTTCTTTTTACAATGTGCATTTTCTGTGTGTAGAGGAAATAAAGTAGATACACAGACACTAGAGCTAAGAGCAAGTCTTGATGACATTTGAGTCCCAGGCCTCAATTATTTCCGAGTCCAGTTATTTTCTGGTTCTTGGGGTCTGTGGGTCACTCTGTAGCATTATAACTTTTTATTTTTTACCTTAACGTAGTTTGAATTAGGTTTCAATATTTAACTTAGAAAATATATATATATTTTTTACCAGCACCAGTATGTAGCACAACTTCAGGTGTTACTCATAGAATAATCTGTATCTGTGTTGTCTAATACAGCAGCCACCAGCCCCTTGTGGCTACTTATTAAAAATTCCGTCACATTAATCACATTCCAAATATCGATAGCCACACGGGAGTAGTGGCTATTGTCTTGGCTAACAGACAGAACATTTCCATCACTGCAAGAAGTTCTCTTGGACAATCGAGTCTTCCAACTGGCTTCCCCTGGGGTTATACAGGCACAATCAAGATGAAAGTCCACATAGGGTAACTATTCTCAAGGCCAGACATACAATAGATATTGTTTATTAAAGTTATATTTTATTTCCAGCTCAGGTTATCAGTTTACAGAATTTCAAGTGACTTAAGAGTTTTCTGTTCCCTTTAGGGATGTGAATTAAGTGTTTCTTTTGGTGGACGGTGCCTTGCATTGGGAATTAATACCTGACTTCTTGGTCTCGCTCTACTACTGCCAGACAACAGTAGTTCCCTGCTGCTGCTCTAACAAACTCAATGGTTTAAAACAACATAAAGATTTATTATCCTATGGTTTTGTAGGTGAGAAATCCAACACAGGTCTCAATAGGCTAAAATCAAGGTGACGACAGGGTTCTGTTACTTTCTGGAGGCTCCAGGGAAGAATGTTTCATTTTTCTATTCCTTGGCTCTCAGCCCCCTTCCATCTTCAAAGCTAGCAATGGCCAGTTGTCCTTCTCACACCACCTCACTCTCACACTCTTCGTGCATCCCTCTTCCACTTATAAAGACCCTTGTGATTATATTGGGCCCAATCAGATAATCCAGGATCATCTCCCTTTCTCAACGTCAGCTGATTAGCAAATTTAGCCCCACCTGCAACCTTAATTCCTCTTTGCCATATAACCTAACATATACATAGATTCCAGGGAGTAGGACATGGTCATTTGGGGCGACTCCATTAGTCTACCTACCACAATGACATTAGGCAAATCTTTCTTCACCTCTGGCCTTTGCATTTGTAATATGAGACTGGTTTACCTATCATCTAGGACTCCAAACTGACAAAAAATTAATAGTTATTGTTAATTTGTTTTTTCACTGAATTTGGATTAAATAACTATTCCAACATAATGTAACTCTGAATTAATATTCAGAAGAGACTTCCAAAGATACTGAGCCATGAATCTCCCCAAATAAGTGTTGACCAGAGACCAAAGCACACACAAACCAATCATAAGGCAATAAATCTTTCTAGTCGACATACGAATGGAGACACAAATAATTAACTTTTAAACATATGGTTCACTAAGTGTTTAAATTACAAGTTAACAAAGTGGTATATAGATAAGTTTTAACTAATTCACAAGAAAGAGTTTTGATGAGGAAAAAATGAAATGTATTTTTATTTGGGTCTATTAACCCTCCCCTTACCCGCCCCTCTTTTAAATATCAAGAGTTTGCTAACCATTGGATGAGAGTCATATTAGCAAAAAGAGACAACAAACTTCTTGTTGCCATAACTGGTCACCCAAATGAAAATTATTCAAATTCAAAGAAATAGAGTCCAGAAGAAACCGGTAATAGGATTCAGCTTTACTTTCTGACTTAACCAAAATGGGTCCTCTATGGAAAAAAAAGTATTTGGGCTTTTTTGCATTTTGAGTAATAAAGAGTTCTATCACCCTGATACACTAAAGAATAATTGTTTTGATTAGAAATTAAAAGTTGATATAAAGAGCAAATACTTTAGCAGTTAATTTTTAATTTACCTCCTTAACAAGTTTTCTTACCGATGTGTTCTTAATTATCACTGACCTTGGTATCAGATGGTACCTTCCACACTGAAATACTTCTAATAATGTACCTTAGAATCCACATTTTCTAAACACTGTCACAACATACATAACTTGAAGAATACAGAATTATTTTTATTTTTTAATTTCTGATGCAAAACACAAAAGCCGACTTGACATATATTCACATAAAACTTTTTCTCTCACATTTAGAACTCAACAGATTGGAACTGCTTTAATCGCTATATGGAGCATACCTATAATGAAGAGAAAAAAAATTAAAACTGTAGCATTAACCAGCAGAAATAATATTGAAATTAGACCATTCTCACCTAGAGCATCAGAGAAATTCATAGAAATTCAGAGAAAACATCCGAGAAGACTTTCAACCCCTCAATTTACATAAGTTTTATCAAAAAATATTTTATTTGAACTACAAAAGAGTAGCAAAAGCATCTAGTATTTGATCAAAAAGTATTTGATTTAAACCTATTTCATTTTTATCTCTTGACTGGCTGACTGAAGTAGTTGAAACAGGCAAGATGATATTAACGGGAAAAAAAAGCAGCAAAAAATTTGGATAATGAAACCGTAAAGAACTGAGTTTAAGAGTTTTTAAACATTGACAGGGAAAGTATACATTAGTGATTACTATTTTATTTAGCAGATATAAGTTATCTACTTTAATCAACCTAATCTATGGAAGTTGAGACTTATAAGTGTGATTTTTTTTTACTTTGCAAAGATTACTATAGGATTTCTTTAGAAAGATTTTAAAAATTACACTATATAAATAAAAATAAACTCATTTTCCCTTTTAAATCACAGAATCATGGACCAGAGTATGCTACCTTGTTCACAGCTGTGTTTCACCAAGAATTGTCCAATTGGGAGTTAGTTGTAGTAATAATCATAATGAAATGGTCATGCAGTAAAAACTTAATCTACTGCCCTTATACTTCCACCTATTCTACAAATATGAAACTCCCAGTTGGGTCAGGCACTAAGCAAATTGCTGAGTACATGATGGTTAAGAAAATAGGGTTTCTGTTCTTTTACTCAAGTGTGGTATATGACAAACCGACATTAAGATATAAATATTCAAATAATAACTTATAAGTACTATGAAGGCATTGTGTACAGTTCTATTAGATTTAATAAAATATTATGATTTCGGTTTCATCCTTAAACATAATTTTTTAGAACACAGTCAAAAGCTAATGGTTAAAAACGATTATGTTAAGATATGCTTGAGCCAAGGTATTAAAAATTCATAAATTCATCACAGATGGGGATATAGGTGCTAAAAACCATAAATACAATAAAAAGCAACCAAAATACGTTTTTTAAATAAGTTCAAATTAACTTGCATAATCTATTCATCCTATAAAATTGCACTTACCGTATTAGTATTTAAAGTTTATTCCAAACCATTTCTTCTTTTATACTCTAAAACATCTTCATTATGTTGTTTGATGAGCTAGAAGGAGGTAACAGTCAAAATTAAAAGAATTAGAACTATTCTAGTTAGAAATAAAAAGCTAACCAGATGCAAAAGTCCAAAAACTATGAAAGGTATATACTTGTTCAACATAATATGACATACTCAATTTGAGAAGGCAAGCCTTAAAACTTTAATTTCAACTTTTGCCAAATAAATTACTTCACTCAGTGAGTAGTTAATAGAATAGAATGCCTTACCAAAGAGGGGTTAAACCAGAAAAACAGGGTAGAACTAGGTTATTAAATGGGATCCAGGCTGGCTGGTGTGTGTGTATACTTCTAACTTTAGAAGTGTGATAATTGTGAGTGAATGACCAACCAATCCCACCCCCCAACTTTATGTGTATTAATTAGATGTCATGCAGGACAGCTACTTTCTTAGAACCACTATCTGACAGAATATGCAAATGGAATGATGGTGTTGATATACAGTGACATTCACTGCAAAGATTTAATTTCAACCAGAGCTCTAAGCAGCAATCACGACTCTTTTCAGGAAAACTTTAAGAATACATAAAATTTCATTACGACAAACATTAAAAAAGTATCAGTTACTGTTGTTAGATTGTGACTTTCAACAACTCTTATTCCATCCCATGTGAAAGACCCGAACCACTTTAATAAAAAAATCCAAAATAAGTGATCTAAGAGTTGGAGGTGGGGCAGTGGAGGAAGCCCCAAATCCATTAGATACAAAAGTTTTAAATACTAATGTAGCACAGATACTTTGAATCGACTTTTTAAACATTCATCAGTAGGAAGGTCTACAGTGTAGCTAGCGCTGAAGTCCAAGGGGAGAACCAGGTTCAGCAAACTTTTCTCCAAGTGTTTTCTTCAACTGTTGAAAGTTAACAATAGTACCTACTACGCGGTGTTGTTGAAAAGATTAAATGAGTTTTTACATATAAACTGCTACACTTAACTAAGCACAATTTTCAACAATGTATAAATACTTACACTTATAAAATCTTATGTTTTGGAAGTCTAATGAGATTTAATTTATAAAGCTTGTTCATCTGAAAAATGCTCTCATAAAACCCCAACCAGCCTCCATACTCATTTAGAAATAAAAGACAATTAACATGTAGTAAAACTGCCTTTCATTTCAAAACCATGCTAAGTAACAATGAAAGAGAAAATTCTGCTTCATAATACTTTCTTGATGCCACTGAAATCTCAATATTTTTTAGTCCTTGGGATTTCCCTCATGGAAAAATGTTATTAGCAATTACATAAATATCCTATTGTATGAGAGATTTTGCTCACAACATTCAATCTCACTCCGATGTTTCCCCTCCCCACTGTGTTGGGGCCGCACGACAGAAGGGAGTAAAGACTTACATAGATCCACAAGAAGACGGAGGTGCCCAAGGTCAATCCAACTTTAAGCCAGTCAGGCTTATCATGTAGCGGCTCCCGAACATAGAACTTTGACCGCGCTGAAGCTGAAAAGGGACGGAGTGTCTGTAAATCTATAACTTACCGCCTAGTTGAAAAACACCCAACATTTACATGTGTATTATCGCATTTAATTCTCCCTTCAAGCCCCGACTTAAACAGCCTAGGAGACAGAGGTTTAGAGAGGTCAAGTAACTCGCCCTGGGCCACCTGCAGAGGTAGACCGGTCTCCCCTGCCCCCCAGGACGCCGCCAACACCCGGTTTACAGGCTTTTACGGACCCTCGGGAGACTCGGGAGTGGGCGGGTAGGCCGCGCTCCCGGGAGGGTCTTCCCTCCTGCAAAACGGAGGGAGGAGGAACCCAAAGTCCATTCGCAGAGACCAAGAGGGGTCAGGTGACACCTGGAGGAGGGTCGATGGCGGGTGATGGGGAACCGAGAGGCCGGAGTGGGGGCAGGCATGGGCTCCGGAACACGGGCCGGCAAAGGTCACTGCAGGATGAGCCCGGGCCGCAGCCTCCCCCTGCCCCCGCGGGCTGGGCTCACTCTGGGAAGGGGCAGGCTGGGAGGTCGGGCCGGCCTGCGCGAGGAGAGACACTCACAGCCGCTCGGGAGCCTGGCGGGGGCCAGCAGCCTGCAGAAGGGGCGCAGCAACGCGGACGGCGCCATGTTGCCGGGCCGGGCTCCGCCTCCCTCCGGCGAGTCTCTCGTTGATTCGGCGCCCGGCCGAGCGCCCCCTAGCGGGCGGGGGCGCGGGAGTCGCCGCTCCGAAGCCGCGCTGCGTGGAGGTGTTAACTCTGAGAATCGCAGTTATAGGCAGGAAATGATAGCTCCTCTGGTCTCAGTCTCCGGTCTCTAAAATGGGATTAGGAAGGAAATTGGAAGGATTAGGAAGGATTAAAGGTGTGTGTGTGTGTGTGTGTGTGTGTGTAGATTAAAGGGGTGTGTGTCTGTGTGTGTGTGGGTGGGTGTGTGTGTGTGGTGGGGTACTTTATCCACTTCTCTGTCCTTTAAGAATTTATTTCAGAGCCTTTCCCCAGGGACATTCATCAAGAGATTTACTAAAATCTTCCAATATATACCAGAAAACTTAAAATGGAATGTTGTGTTGAATAATAGCTAGCATGTTGATTGGATTCTATGATCCAGGCACTGTGCATTAATGCGTCATGTAGTTTACATGCATTCATTTTATCTTCACAATGACCACATGACATGCCGCGATTATCTTCTTCAATTTACAGATGAAGCTCTAAGAAGACAAGCTATTTGTCCAAGGTGGCATATTATACTTTATAGTTGTAAAGACTTCTTGCAGTTCCCAAATCTGTTTACACTATCATAGAAAAGCCTTACAACCCTGTGAATAAAAGAATTCTTTCAACTTAATATCATTTAGGTTTGTTTTAAAAGCAATAATGTTGCTTTTAAATAAATAAATGAACAAATAAAGTTGGCAAATCTCTTTTTCTTCTATATTTTCTTTAGCATTGTTATTGAAAAAAGTTTTAATCAAAATCTTATTAACCAGAGAGTAAAATGATTGTATTGTTTTCTGGTTCATGTTTCCATATAACTGATGGTTAAATAGATTGCTAAATTGTGAGTCACTTTATAGTTTGCAACATAGTTTGAGCCTCCTGGACTCATGCTCAAATAAGCAAACCACTCAACTAACATGCTGAGTCAGTTGTTGGTTCTCAGCTTCTTTTGCTTCTTGGCCACTCAGCAACCCGTCAGTTGTATATCCTTTCTGCACCATCCCTTGGAAGCTTGTCCTGACACAGCTTTTGCTAGTATCCAACAAGTTGGAACAGGAGCCATGTTTAGTCAGATCGTACAGGGCCAGTAAGCAAATTACTAATTTCAGAACGGCTGCTGGAAAAGGCTGTTTTTTTTTTTTTCCTTTTGGTCCTTGGATCCTTTTACTGGTGTATATTTTGGGAAACTGATGATGTAGAAGCACATTTCTCTCAGCATATTAGAGATGATGGAATCCTACACTTGGAGTAGGCAGCTGTAGGTGAAATTGCATCTTGAAATAATCCTGATGAAGCAATTCCAGCCAGGAGCTAATAGCTATGATATTTTAGTAGAAGTTGCTACATGACATTCACTTCAGCATCTCCAGAATTTGAGCATCTCCATAAATAAGGTTTTAGCATTCAAATTCTTTTAGCAGGTAAAGAGAGAGGGATTTTGAGTTAGCAACTAGGAAAACAGAGTCGAAGTCCCAGATTTTTCCACTGGGAAACTTCTTACTCAACTCACACCTCCCAAGGAGGGTTAAAGAAAATCAAGAATTGAAACAGTATAAAATGTAAAAGCACTGCATATGTTTATTGATTTATGACGCATGAGACTATTATACATCGAATCCAGGATCTGGAGAAAGATGCAGTGCCTGATGTAGCTGCAAGTTATTATTTAAAACACAATCAGAGGCAATTACAAAATGGTAGCATTTGTTAAATCTGGGTGGCAAATACATAGATTTTTCTGTCATATTTCCATACATTTTAAATACTTAATAATGAAGACATAAAAATGTTAATAGAGAACATGTTACATATGTGAAGATGGAGAAATTTCACTCTACATATCCCTTTTGTAAAATTAAATTTTGTGAGATAAATTATTTATTTTTGGTTACTTTTTTTGGAAGGGCATACATGGGATATGGGATAATAGGGATACATGGGGTACAGTGACATGACAGCAGGGGTGCAAATAACATGGGGCAAAGTGAACGAACTAACCATGGTCATTATCATCATCACCATCATCATCATTATCATTGTCATCTAGCTTTGGGTGTGTTAACTTCCTGCATAGCTGTCATTCACAGCATAAATGGGATCTTCATTTGTCACATAGGGGTGCGCTTTCAGAGTAAATATTTTATTATTGAGTTCGGGTCATAAGTCACTGTGTGGTCTGTTATCTGTAGGTGCATTTTAACTAGGATCTGACTCAGATAAATGTTGACTCAGACTAGATTTTACTGAGTCTTAAAGATTGCTATTTATTTGTCATCAACCAAAAGAATATAACACTTGCCAAACTATATAGCTGGCTCATCTATTTAGGTACTTAGCTTCCGGTGGGAACTAGTTTGTTTCAAAGACCAGAAATTTTCTTCCCTTAAGGAGAAAATAGTATATTACTTACAGGAGAAATTTAGGAAATCATAGCAAATAATATTGCTGTAGAGACTTTTGGATATGAAGCTAGAGATTTGGAAACCCAAGTTAGTAGCTAAAATTATCACCTGAAGTTAAGCGATTTTTCCACCTTTTAATAGTTCAGATAGTTGAAAGATCTCTCGTTCAAAGGTTATTACAAAATAGCAAGTGTTTTTATGAATTCTAAGTTTGTTCTTAGTTTTATTTTTTTGACATTAAAAAAATGGCCATAGTCCCAAACTAAAACATGGTTTCCTATAGATATTAATGAAACTTTTGAAGAGAGCACACAGAAATTAAGCGTATTCCAGGGTTTGACTCCTAAAACCTTATTTATGACTCAGGCAAAAGGAGAGGGCATTTGAGATAGGAGCTGGAAAGCCCAAGCTTTAGTCCCAGATATTTCCACTGGGAAACATCTTACTTAGCACTCACCTTTCAAGGAGGGTTAGGGAAGAACATTTGAAAATGGTAAAATATCTGGATAAATAACTTAAAAGAGCAAAGCTACTGCACATATTATTTAATGATTAATGATGCAAAGAATGCTATGGATGGAATTCAGGATCTGGAGAGAAAAAATAATCAAGGGTAAAAATAGCTCGTATAACGTGAAAAATTGTAGATTATCGATGGAATGCCACGTTTAAAACTTAAGCTTTACTGTCGATTATTAATGAAATGACACATATGTGAGAGGCCCTAGTCAGTATCTAGTCTGACCTTGCCTATTGCAGCAGCTCTTAGTATCCTTGCCAGGTCCTCTTCGGCTCCTAAGATTTGAGGATTTCCCGTGATGGCGAGTTCAACGAGCCAATGTTAAGCACTAGCTTGAAGCTAGTTCGAGGGGAATCAGTATCCTTAACTCTCTACTACTCCAAGGTGACTTAGTCAACCCTGGTAGCATTTTACGGTTTCAACAACGAAATTAAAAAAACTTTACCCTTCAGATGATTCTTTGGCAGTGCAAAATGACTTTGGATCTGGCTGCCTTTCCAGGCGCATCTTAAGGAATAAACTAAATCACCGATATCTTGGCTAGCTCTTTTCCACTTCATTAAGCCCCCTCCTCTCCATATCTGTTAACACGTCCGCACTGGAGTGAAGCCTTAATTCCCCCTCGACCTCTGCTACTTAATTAGGATCAAACGCAGCGCTTCTTGAACACCTGCATTTTAGTTTAGCACTTCGGGCTCAAGCAATGATCACACAGTACTGGCCAGTCGATCCAATGAATGAAAGGCCAATCTAGGAGGAAAGAACACAAAGGCTATTTTTAATGCAGAGCGGGTCAGAACCTCTGCTGGCCGCTCTCCCCTCTCGCCTGCAAAGCGCTGCGCACAGAAAGGGTGGGCGGGGCCTGCCGCGACCCTCTCAGCCCTGACCCGCCGGCCGGCCTCCAAGTTTCCCAGCAAGCTCCAGGATGGAGGAGGTGGGGCAAGGAGGTCATCGCGCCTGCGCGCTAGGAGGTGTGACCCGGGTGGGAAAGCCCTCCGCGTCCGCCATTTTGGCTGCCTCTGTCGGTCTGTTCAGTTACCACGTGAACCGCCGACGGAGACCCGTTGGGGGTGGGGGGAGGCGGCGGCAGCGTTAAGTGAGAAAGGAAAAAAGACAACGAGGGGAAGGGGGTGTCGGGGCTGGGCGACGCGGTGACACCCGAAGCCTGGTGGCGGCGGTGGATCGGCAATCAAGGCTGAAGCAGCCAGGGAACGGCGGCGGCGGCGGCGGCGGCGGCGGCGGTGGTGGGACAAACAGACTGACCGAGCCGGGTGGTGGCGGGAGCAGCGGGAGGAGCCGGAACGATGCCGGCCGTGAGCCTCCCGCCCAAGGAGAACGCGCTCTTCAAGCGGATATTGGTAAGTGTGAGGCTCTGGGCAGGCAGTGGCAGGGATTCAGCCGGCACACGGGCCTGTCACCTCGGCCCGACGGGCAGCGAGCCACCCCCAGCCGGGACCCCGCCTTCGTACTCCTAGTCAGGCCGAATGAACTCTCTGGTCCCCTCTCTGTGGTTCCCACTCCGGCCTGTGCGCCGGGGACCACAGGTTTCCTCCTCCCGTCCCCACGCTTCAGAGGCCGCGGTTCCGGACTAGGCCCTGTTCGCCTCGCTTCTTGACTGCGGGTTTTTATCCTCGAGCTAAGGGAGGAGATGCCCGGCCCTTGGCAGGGAGGCGGGCAGCACGGGAAGGAGCCGCGGCCCGGGCAGTGCGGGAACCCTGCCGGCGGGCCGGGGTGGCACCCTTGGAAGGAACAGGTGGTGCGGATGCGGCACAGCTCATTCATTGCCCAAGCGCGTCTCTCTCCACAGTCCGTCCCTCCCTCTTCCTCTCCTCTCCAGATTCACCTGTCCCCGCCCGGCCCGGGGTCACTGAATGACCTGAGAGGAGGGAAGGGAGAAAGGAGTTAAGAAAAGGAAAGGAAGCTTTCTTAACGGCTACCTCCTTGTAGTCAGTTGCATATTCGAGTCTGCAGCTTTTTGGCTTCTCTTTTTCCTGGAGTAGGAAAGGGACATTTCTTTCTTAGTTCGTGAGCGGGAAACAGCCTCACCCCATCACCCTCCTTGGGAGGTGGGGTCCATTGCGTGGGGCCGGTCTGGTAGGAAGCGAAAAGTTAAGAGCTTTTAGTTCAGACGTTCTAGACACAGATTTTCTTATAGATTGAAATGTAACACCTATGGAAAAATTTAGCAGCAGAGTAAAGGGAATGTAAGAACTTTTGGGATGGATCCTTTTGACACTAGCTCAAACTTATTACCTACATTTCAGATGTGTGCAGTTTGCATTGATGTTTGGAGGGACTGTTTACATTGTTAAAATGTCTTGTAGTCTTGGCGCCATAGTTAATACATTGTAGCACATTTTTGTTTGGCATTTAGTGTGTGGGTTGCCCCTTTCATACAAACATTTCTTTGTGACAGAATTAAGTGTATTTGCCAAACTTAAGGCTTAAAATTTGGAATGCGTGTATGAAAGTGTTAGACTTTTCTCTTGCAATTTAAATTAATTTCACTTTTTGAAGAGTAGAACAACTCTTGTGGATCCAGTTTTTCTAGAAGTAAGAAAGAGTAATCCATATTGAACTGACTGTGATTTTTTAAAAATATCCACATGTCCTACAGATGTAATTAGTTTATGTTGAAAAACATCAGAAAGTCGCATCCAAAACCATGTCCTAACACTTAGTTTCTTTGAAGTCCTTATTGCCATTTTTATTTTAAGACTAATTGGAGTGTAGGTGGGACTATAGCATAGTTTTACCAGAAAATTTATTTATTTTGAAACCTTTTAAAAGACTAATTGGTGTGTAGGTTCTACTGTAACATAGTTTTAGGGTAGCAATTTGTTTTTAATCTTCTTCCCCAAGTCCTTATTTTGAAAAAAATTCAAGCTGGAAAGTTGAGAGAAGAGGACAGGAGCATTCATATACCCTTTACCTAGACTTAATATTTAACATTTTGCCAGATTTGGTTTCTCTCCATATATATTAAAAAGTTTGAAGTAAGTTGCAAATATGATACTTCATCCCTAAATGCTTCAGTGAGCATCTCCTCAGAATAAGGACATTGTCCTATATAACACATTAACAATCATTCCCTAATATTGTCTGATATCCAGTTCATATTCAGATTCTCCCAAATCGTTAGGGTAGCACTTTTTAAAATATCAAACGTTCTATTTTGAGATAGCCATAGGGTCACATGGAGTTTTAACAAATAATACTGTTGAGATCCCTTGTACCCATTACCCAGTTTCCCAGTGCCATTGCCTTGCAAACTATAGTTCACTATCATGACATCGATAATTTGAATCTTATTCAGATTTCTCCATTTTATGTGTACTGATTTGTATATTCGTTCTATGCAATGTTATCACATGTGTAGATTACGTAACTACCACCACAGTCAATATACAGAACAGTCCTATTAGAACCACACCCTCCTCTCATCCTCCCTTTTCTAATCCCAAACTTTGGCAACCACTACTAATGCGTTCTCTCTCCCTACAGGTTTGTCATTTCAAGATTGGTTACTAAACAGAATTACACGGTATTCAACTTTCTAGGATTGGCCTTTTTTATGCAGCATAATTTCCTTGAGATTCATCCAGGTTGGGTGTATCAAAAGTCTGTTTCTCGTTATTGTTAAGTAGAATTCTGTTATATGGGTGTACCACAATTTAACTGTTCATAGAATAAGAATTATTGATTAAGCGTCCTAAACAACTTTTTTTGGTAGTACTAATGAGGCAAAACATATAAGTTCATTGCTAAAGTCAAAATGCTAAAACACTTATTGGAATAGGTATAGATATATGTAGAAGAAATGTGAAAATTACTAAATGAAATAATGTGTTTTTATTGTTCTCTTACATTGACAACTAAGAAAATATTACTAACCAAAAGTATAGTTAGTATTTATTTTTTCAAAATTGCTTCTGCTTCCTCAGTTGTTACAGTAGTTGGCTCTTTTGACTGTAAGCTTCTCAGCTTTCCCCTCCCTCCCATAAGGAAAAGCTGGGCATACTCTGATACCTTCTAGTCAAGTGTTGCTTGGCTGGTTAACTTAAATTATTCCAGGAACATTCAGTTTTTAAGCTAGTACTTTGTTAATTATACCATACTTATTTGTAGTAAACTGTAGGAAATGGAATTTTTTTTTTAAATTTGAAACTTCAATTTCAAAATAATGAAGTATGTTTTTGCCTTAATTTTTCAAAGGAAACCCGGTTTATACATTAGTTTGCAAAAAATTTCAGTTTCTGTAGTGGATTTGCTTGGCTTGTTCTAGTCTAGTTGTTACCTAAAATTTAATTTTGTTGCATATTTGGCCCATCTTTTTTCCCACATTACTGTTTTCTGAAACAGTAATTAGTCATAAGTTGGTCAAAATGTCTGCAAAATGTGTCTTGTCTATAATTTGTCCAGAGAAAAGGTGGGGATGAATTTAATGTCATAATGGCTTATATAGGAGTTTAGTTTAAAGAAGAGATATTTGTGTTTTTGTGGGTTTTGCCTGAAGTGGTTTTTGTGGGTTTTGTTGTTGTTGTGATTTGTACACCATTTTAATAATTTGAGAAACTACATCATTAAAAAATTGTGGCTTTTGATGCTATTTGTTTACATAAATAGTTTGAAGGGCATTACTAGAAGTTTACCCCTCTTTCTTAAGATATAGGTGAAGGAGTAGGAAAAATGAGGTTGTGGGGTAGAAAGTTGGGCGTATCCTCTTGCTTTGCAATCAGGTGTTGCTAGGTCTGTGACTTGCTGGTGCTGCTTCTCTCTTCTGTCTTCATATGTTAATGTGAACTGTAAGAAAAACATCTAGGTTGGGAGTACTTAAAATATTGTTCATCATTAGTCTATTTTTGGACTTTTGCCTTATGATTTATATTGTTAGTTAAAAGTCTAAAAGGCAGAATTTTCCTTTCCTAGAAAAGTGGTAAGAGAAGTTAGCATAGCATGGTGATAACATTTGTGATTTACTGAAGCTTACCATTTGTACTGCACAGTACAACTTTCTGAGATGATGGAAATGTTCTGTATCTGCTCTGTCCAATATTTTAGCCATTAGCCACATGTGGCTATTGTACAGTTGAAATATGGCTAGTGTGATTGAGGAACTGAATATTTAGTTTTAATTAACTTAAATTCAAATTCAAATAGCTACATGTGAATGGTTACCATTTTGGACAGTTAAAAGACAGTTTTCACAGAGGCAGACATAGTGCCTTGTGCGATTGGAGGACTGAAGAGCTACAAGCCAACAGGCCTTAACTGAAAGGATCTCTTTTGCTTAGTGTGCATTCTTATTTCTGTTAATATTTCTGCTTCTGATAATGTAGTTGTCTCAGAGTATTGTTTCAAATTATCTTCTTTGTTCATAAAAGTGTTTTTGGACATAAAAAGCTAGGTCCTATAAGGGATCATATGCAAAAGACTTCAGAATTTTTTCTCCCAGCTACCTGCATGACTCATTTCTTCTCTTATTTCTTTTAAAATTCTGCTCAGATGTCTTCTAAATGTTATATAGAGGCCTTCCTTGACCCAGGGAAGACCTCCTCATGATCAGTCTTCTTATTTCTTCCTTTTTGTTTTCCTTGTCACATATCACTATGTGGCAAATATACACAAGTAATTTATCACATGTCTTGCAAAATTAAAATGTAGGTTTTATGAAGTTAGAGACTGTATTCTGTTAATTGCTTTTACCCCCATTGGTTAGAATAATGCACCATAATAGATATTTAGTAAATATTTGTTGCATAAATGAGTGTTTAACAGTGACTACAGGGCAAGAGAGAAAGATCTTTATTTTGTGCTTGTATGAAGATTTTTGGAGAAGAGAGTTAAGATGGGCCTTGTCCTTGTAGAGTATGTTGCTGTATGAGGTAATCGTTGGGTATCAGGCAGAACCTGTATTACCTGGTAAGACCTTGGAAGTTTCATTTATGAATGAATCATAGTATTAGTTTGTTTACATGGCCTTTCTCCCATCACAAAAGCATAATAAGAGGAAATATGATTTGATTTGATTTTGGGTTGTTTTGGCATTGGGGGAAAAATGGCATCTGGATTAAATGAGGATGTTTGTTGTAAGGAGCTTGCTGAATTAGTAAGGCTCAGTCATCTGTAGTTTCATAAAGCTCTACAACTGATTCTGACACAAAGTCAGGGGTAAGGACCTCTGTATAGACCATTATGAAACAAGAATAGGAAATGTTAGAAGGGAAAAAAATTGTAATTTAGAGTTCCTTTGTGAGTAATTTTCAGAAAATTTAAAAATCAAATTGAATTCTTGGAATTTGGAAAGATATGCTGGAAGCTACGGTGTCAGAGCAAGCCACTTAACTAATCAGTGAGCCTTGCCAACCATCAGCATTCATATCTAAATACAACTTTGCTCTCTGGTCATAGGCAGTAGCCATATTGAAGAGAGAAAAACGTCAGATGCTTAGTGAAAATAGTTTGGAAAAGAATGTCATTTACCAGTGCTGGTGGCAAGGAGAGCAAGTGAAGAGGTTTAAAAGAGTGATGGTTCCTAATATAAATGGGGTGTGGAGGGGAGGAAGTTTTATGCTGTGGTTGTATACTTTTGGGAATTTCCCTAGTATATCTCCACTGTTTTATGATGCATGCCCAACAAACTTGTATTGAAGTTGTAACTTTAAAAGAACTAGTTTAACTTGTTGCATATGGTTTTTCCCTCTTGGGTAAGCTATGAATTTTATTGTTCATTTCTTAATTTGGAACTAAAATAATTCCTTAAAATTTTAATTTAATAAAACAAGTCTATTTTAGCTATTTCAAAGTAAAATAAAAATTGCAGTGTAGAAATGAATGAGAGGTTAATGTTTTTGTTTCCTGATATGCTCTATTCCACTGAGATTTTCTTTGGTTGGTAAAATAGGAACCCATGTTCACTTGGGACAATTTGAAATTTCTTCTAAAATCTACTTAGGGAAATTGTAATCTTACTTTGAAGCTAGTAATATTTTTAAAGATTCCATATGATTTTTTTATAGAAATTATTTAAACATTCCTCTGTCGTCTGTAAGAGTTGTTTTATCTGTACATAGAAGGAGAAATGAAAGTTTGTTTTTAAAAATACAGACCTTGGAAAAACCTTTAGGGCTCTGTTTTCTACTTCCACACGTGGTTGTTGTTCCAATTAAAAAAAGGTTTTCTCCTTATGATAATAGCTTCCATTAATACTGTACTCTTTATTTTTCAGAGAGATCTCATGGAGATTACAAGATCACCTTTGATGATCTGTGTTTGAGGACTGAGACAAAATCTTTAAGAAGGGGAAATGAAATGAAGCAAACTGGCATTTATTGAACACCTATTTTGAGCCAGATTTTATGCTAGACTTTTTTACACATTAGCTGATACAAACCTTGCATCATTTTTTTGAGGAAATTATAAAAAATATAGTTAATACTTATTACATTAAAAAATGTTTTCGATTATAGTTGATATACAATATTATATTAGTTTCAGGTGTATAACATAGTAATTACACATTTATTTAACTTCGGAAGGCATCACCTCAATAAATTTATAGTACCCATCTGACACCATACAGAGTTATTATAGCATTATCGACTATATTCCCTATGTAGTACTCTACATCCCCATGACTGTTTTGTAATTACCAATTTGTACTTCTTAATTCTTTCCCATTTTCATTCACTCCCCAATTCCCCTCCCCTCTGGCAACCATCACAGTGTTCTCTGTATTTATGAGCTTGTTTCTGTATTGTTTGTTCATTTATTTTGTTTTTTAGATTCCACATTTAAGTGGCATTTGTCATTGTCTATTTCACTTAGCGTAATACCTTCTAGGTCCATCCATGTTGTTGCAGATGACAAGATTTCATTCTCTTTTATGGCTTAGTAATATTCCATTCATCTGTCGATAGCCATTTAGGTTGCTTCCATATTTTGGCTATTGTAAATAATGACGTAAGGAACATATCGATGTATATGTCTTTTTGAATTAGTGTTTGGGTTTCTTTGGATAGGTACCCAGAAGTGGAATTACTGGGTCCTTCTTTGTCTTATTATAGCTTTTGTTTTAAACTCTGTTTTGTTTGGTATAAATGTTGCTATCTAGTATTTTTTGTTTGTTTCCATTTTCATGAAATATCTTTTTCCACCCCTTTCAGTCTGTGTGTCTTTAATCTGAAGTCAGTTGTTGGCAGCAGATGTAAGAATCTTCTTTTCTTTTCCATTCAGCCACCCTGTGTCTTTTGATTGGAGCATTTAATCCATTTACACTTAAAGTAATTGCTGATAGATATGTAGTTATTGCTATTTTATTATTCATATTTTTGATCTTTTTTTTTTCCTTTCTTGAAGAAGTCTCTTTAACATTTCTTGTAATACTGATTTTATAATACTGAACTCCTTTAGGTTTTTTTTTTTTTTTTTTTTTTTGGTCTGGGAACTTACTACATTGTTAAAAGTATATTTCTAATTGTTTATTCAGAGTTCGTCAGTTGTGCTGTATCAGGACATCTGGGTTCCTAAAAGTTAATGCACTATGCAAAATCGTGTAATAAAAACCACTCAGCTTGTGGGAAGATGGGGTTGAGCACAACACTCAAAAACTTCCTTAGCGACATTAGAAACAAAGCTAAGAACCTAATAAAAATGATAACACGGTTTTACATATGGTGTTTAATAATACATAAATAGTACAATGTAAATATGGCACTTTACCTTAGAAAAGACCTGAAGTTTATGGAACTGGATGTCAGAAGAATTGCAGGTTGTAAATTATGTAAAGTGACAGAAAGTTACCTGAAATCTGAGGGAAAGTTGTAATGCCAAATGTGGATGGGTGTGACTTATACCTGAAAAGACCTGAAGTTTATGGAACTGGTTGTCAGAAGAATTGCAGGTTGTAAATTATGTAAAGTGACAGAAAGTTACCTGAAATCTGAGGGAAAGTTGTAATGCCAAATGTGGAAGGGTGTGACTTATACCACACAAAGTGAGCTGAGGTAGCTGGGAGATGTTCGAAGTGTGTGTCTACTGTGCACGCCTGTGCGGCTCCTTTCAGCTGGGTGCCGTTTTCTGTGATCACCCAATATTTCTAGCAGACAAAATCCTACAGAAGCAGACATGAAATTTGAAATTTAGCATGCTCAAAATATTCCCTAATAAGTCAGTGGTACTGGAGCAAATGTGTGTTTTTAAAATAAGCATTGTAGCAGACCCACTGTACGTTATCTTACTTAGTGATACAGAGGTCACACATCCTGGATTTGGGTAGTGCCTCTTTCACTCTGAAGTGTGACTAATTACTAAGCCAGAACTTCTTGCATCTAATACCTGAGATAGTATCACAGTCTTTGCCATCTTAGTTGCCACTGCCACTGAGGAGACTCAAAAGTTTCAGGCAAATTCATTCGAAAGATTTTTGTGGGGAGACAGTTTTGATGCTCAGCTGCAACTCCTGGTGTGGAAAGAATAGAAAGATTCTGGGTTTGAAACCTGGCTCTGCTCTCCTTTATCCTTTTTAAGACTCAGTTTGTAAACCTGAGTAAAAAGAGAAAATACTTTTCTGACCTGGTTCACTGGTCAGGTGGTGAGATATGTATGAAAGTGCCTGGCAAATAGTAAAATGTGTACTTGCTCTATTGTGGTTGTAGTCTATTAAGAACTTAAGCCTTTTTGTTGCATCGATCCCATCTTTGTTTTGTTACCCTTACCGTGTGTCTTATGTTTGATATTTTTATTTTGTTTTTGTATATTTTTGGTATTTTGAAAGGTTCATATTTTTGTTTTAGTTAATTACCTTTATATTTATACCTTTAAACATTCTTAGTCCTTTTTTTTTAAACTTAGGCTTCTATTTCATATGTCAGCTTTAAATCCATTGAGTCTCATTTTCCTATGTGTGAGGCAATTAATTAGCTTATTCTACTTTACTTCTTTTTCTTCTCCTCCTCTGACTTTTAAAAGTTATTTTTACTTTGTTGAGAGCATGTCGTTTCAAGTAGTATTCTTCCACCCTTATCAGTACCTGTCTGAGATTTAGTTCTGTAATTAAATGTAGTTAATATTTACCAACAGACCATTTGCTGAAGTTGTCCCAGTCATCTCTTGGTGGGATGAAACTTATTGTCTAGAAGAGATTCCTCAGTAGTGCTTGTGAAAATCTCTTAAGTTCTTACGTGTTATAACAGTTTTCCTATACTCTTGATATTTGGAGGACAGTTTGGCTGGATATAAAATCTCTGACTTTTTCAGTTTCTTGAAAATACTGCCTTTCTGTTGTGTAAAGTTCCCACAGACCTTTCTTGTCTTACTGAGACTGTGTGCTTATTTTAAAAATATTGAAATGCTTTTTGTTTTTTGAAATAGTAATAACAGATCTTTAAAAAATGGTTTGCTTAGAAAAATAAAAATTTAGCAACCCCATTTAAATTACTCAGTTTTTAAAAAAATTTTACTAGTTTTAGAAATATGTAAAAGTGTGGGACCATATTGTTTCAACCTCAGAGGGTGGCCCTGAATGTCAAAGGACTTAAAACTTTAATATAAGGAACAGCTAAAAGAACAAATATGTTTTGCTTGAATAAGAAAAAAACAACTTTTATAGAGCTAGAATCAGTACACAGAAGTTTGAGGGAGATATAATTTGGCTTACTATCTCTAAAAACATTTCAGTAAAGAATGAACCGGAAGACCCTTACATGAGCTGTGTGACCACTTGCACCAAGTGATGTTTAAGATCTCTTCTGATTAAGAGATTCTGTAAAATAAGTCTCGCTTCGTTAAGTCTCATCTCAATAGATCTTAGTTTGTCTTTTATTATAGAAGTAAGATAGGCTTATTTTTAAAAATAGTATAAAACTAGAAGGAGAAAAACCACCCTTGAGATTTGTATTCATGGATGTAGTAGTTTGCCAGAAATTGTATGGTATGAAAAGGACAACATATTGTCTGCAAATGGAAGCTCTAACTAAAAGAATTTTAAAAGAGAGGATAAAGGTGGTTTTTCGGAGATTTTATGTTTTCTTTTCAAAAAACATTTAAAAAGTTAAAGTATAATTTACCTACAGTAAAATGCACAGGTCTTGAATGTACTGTTGAATTGATTGCCTCAAGTGTACTGTTTTAACAAATGCATATACCTGTGCAACTGTGGCCCTTTCAAGATATAGAACATTTTCGTCATCTCAGAAAGACCCCTTGTTCCCCTTGATGGTGTATTTTAGTTCCTGCTTTCCGATTTCTTTGTAATCAGTCAAGCCGGGTTGGGTTTAAATATTTTAAACTATAACTGATATTGTGTGCTTTATTTAAACATTCTTATTGGGTGTTTACCGAGGTTCTTTATATACATTTGCATTTAATTCTCACCTAAACCCTTCAAGGTTGTTAATGTTCACATTTTGCAGGTGACACAATTGAGGCTCTAATAAATTTAGTTAGGTCAGTAATACAAAGCTATTTAGAGGTTGCTAAGATGAATCCTAGACTAGTGTTGTCCAGTAAAATTTTTTGTACTGATGGAAGTGTTCTACATCTGAGTTTCTAGTATGTTAGTCACTAGTCACATGTGGCTTTTGAACACCAGAGATGTGGGTAGTGTGACTGAGGAGCTTTACTGAAGAATTTTCATGTAATATTAATTAAAATATTGAATAGCTACAGCTCTAGACTCTCTGACTGTTAAGGCTGTATGTACCCTTTATCCATACTACCTCTGCAGAGGTAGAAATACTGAAGTATATAGTTCTAATTTCACTGGCACTCCTAAGTGCCAGCCAGGCATTAGGAAGTTAAATGCTTCTGGATTTGATTTTGGCATACCAAAGATTCATTTTCTCTTTAATTTTTTAATTATGAAAAATTTCAAACATGAAAATAAGAATAATGTATTCTGAGTTTGACAGTTATCAGTTTTTATTTCATTCTTTTTCATCTGTGATGCTTACCCCTCTGGATTATTTTGAAGAAATTCCAGGCATCATTTTAACATGGCTGACTTTTAAAGCTAAGTTTGGCTTTTATCATTTAGCTTGATTTGAGGCTACATTCCTTTTAATCAGTTTCAAGAATGAAATATTTTTTTGCATTAGCTAAAGGAAAACGATGGAAAGGTATATTTAATACTAATGAAAATCATGTATTCTTAATGCCAAATCTAAACCATATGTATTTAAATTTTTTGCGTCACTATCTTCTGTTGATGTAAATAGCCTAGTTTCTTTATTTGCCATGTCACAGTTCCTGCTTCTAGTTAACTATTTTTTTTCTGTAACAAGGATTTGGAAAAGGATAATGAATATTCATTCTGTCTTCAGTAGATCACCCTAGTTTATTTGGGCTTTTCACAACTTGTCCAGTTTCTGTTAATTAAGCAGTCAATCGTTTTGGACATTTAACCTTCATATTCTTATTAGTAAAATTAGAGATTTTTCTAGGAAGATCATTGGAATGCTTTTGAGTATTATGACAAAAGTTCTGTTTCTTAACTACACAA